TTGTAATATTCCTATTGCCATTCAAGTCTGTTGGAGCAGGTGAGAAAGTCAGCGAGTCATGTATAATTGCATTGCTAGATTTATATATAGCCTTATTCATTTTTAACAAGATCTTACTGGTTTAAATGTCAACTAGAACAAAGAAAGTGCATGTTCTTTACTGTTAATTTAAAAGAAAATGGTGCCACCAAAACTACACAATCATTGCATTTGTTTGTCAGCTCTTAGTCAAAGAACATTAGATGTTTCATTATATAATTAATTTCATATGAATGAAGGCGAATATATGTGTCCCAGGATAATGTTGCAGCATTCAATCTGGGTCAGTCACCAGGACCCAGAGGTTTTGTCTTCTGAGCTTTCAGACTTGTGCTGGAGTCCATCCTCTGGGAATTTCTCTCTAACTTCTCTCCAGCACACACTCTGCTAGAGAGAAGTTCCCTGAGGATGGGCTGAACGCTTAGAAGAACAAACCTCTGGTCTTGGTGACTGTCCCAGATTAGATCCTATTTATATATGATTTAAAGTTTGTTTTAGTCAGTGCTATATACTATAATATTTTTAATTCGGTTGTAAACAATAACAGAGTGTTCCCAGTTATCTTGGGGGAGGGGAGCCGAGAACAATAAAAATCAATAACATTCGATAAAATCATAAGCAGGGTCCAAACCCTTGTATTTATAACTGGGAGAGCTAAAGGCCTGTGATATAATCTCCTTCCCTTGCTTCTTCCCCATGCACAAAAGAAATCATTATGTGTGCCTTGCCTTTGAAGGCTATTGTTTCTCATAAATCTTGGAGAATGCTGAAGTGTATTTTCATCACTTGGCGATTGTAACATCAGGCAATAACTTGATCTGTGAAACAGCCATCACAGAAAGAAAGGACTCCTAGCCAGCCCTCCACATCACTTGAAACAGGACTCCTTAATGGAGCATTTCACCCACTTTGTTAAGTCTCAGCAGGTGATAAGTCATTGAATAATGAACCCTGAAGCTCTTGCTTGTGTGCCAAACTGTGTGCCGCTGACACCAACCTATTTCCTATGCTTCAGACAACTCTTCTCCAAATCATCACACAACATAATTTTAGATGCTCCGAGGTCACAAACTGTTCTTACCGCTTATCTCTAGAGGAAAATGTTTCCTTCCAGACAATATCAAGGACATTTTCAGATAGAAGTAGGGGGAAAAAATAGTGTGCAGCTAGCCAACAGCTGAAAGTTGTCACACAAGATACATTGATTTAATTTGTGTGGCAAAAACATACTGTTATTTCTGTTCAGGTCAGCAAAACCATGGAGTTCTTGGTGCGTGACCCTTTTTTTTTATCATCATTACATTAAGTTCTAATCAGAACAAAATATATTGGACCACAGATTGGTAACATCAGAATTGTGTGCAAAATGCAACATAACCTCTGAATGTTGATTTTGTAAGAAAACGTTTTAGAGCATAAGCTACTTATATTCATTGTGAATTAATGGACAATTAGAATTAAAAATAAATAATCCAAAAACAATTAGCCACAGTGGCTTTGTTAAAAACAAAAAGAAAAAACTTCCACGTTCAGCAGCGTCTGCATATTGTGCAATAAGATAAAAAAAAACCAGGAGAAGCCTCAGAAGGGGAATTTGCATTGTCCACAGAGCTAAGAATTAGGTTTGGCAGTAGAGGGAAGGAACTTGGTGCCTCAAACAATACAGCTAATGGCAAAGAATTGGGGAAATTCTGGAGGCACTAATTGAATTGACCTGGTCCTTCAGAGTTTGAGAAACTTTTGTCAACTCTGCTTGGAGATAATCACAGATTACATTTCTAGTTCCTGGGTCAGGAAGCCTTCTGAACAGTCGCTGATATTCTAGTGGCCTCACGGTTGGGTTGTTGTAGAGTTGTAGTTGAGGCTTCCCAATATTCTTCTAGATATAGCTCCCATCCTCATGATGCTCCAGTTGTCTTTAAAAACCTGCTGTTCTCCTGGGCCTTAGGGGAAGTATATTTGTTGAGTCTGTTGGTGATGTTTCTTATTAGAGGGAGTATGGTTGTCTGATGCTTGTGATTTTCTTTTTATTATTTTCCTTTAATTCTTTTATTTTTAGCATCGTTTATATTTAGCGTGACTAAGAGTCATTTTGGAACTGGGCAGTCTCTAAATCTAATAAAGAAATACATTAAATAAATAAATCAATAAATAACTCCTTTTAAAACCATATGTTTGGATACAGTTGAAAACAAGGCAGACTTAGTTCCAATCCAGATGGTTTCTTTGATAATATTAAATTACCTAGCATAGTTTTCAGCAAAAGTATAATCAAGATTAGTTCCCTTGCATACTGTTTAAAGATTGTCCTTGTTATTTGCAGGAATTCTCTTCCTGCTGAGCAACCTGAGATAATGAAATCACAGATAATGAGACTGTGAAAAAAACATCCACATTATAAGGATCTGTAGTATTCCAAAAAATGTGGCAGGAAACTAGATATGCAAAGCTGTACATATTACAGACACTAAATTCTAGCACATATTTTAAATTGTGGATATATCAAGAAACCAGAAAATGAGGCCATAGATAATGAGTGCCAGATGTATAGACTAGATAATTCTTCTTTATGCCATAAAATTAGGGTTCATTTTAACACAGAATTTTAGGTTTGCTGCTGGGAATTTATGTTCAATTTATATTACACAGATTGAGAATTATGCAGATTTTGTCTTTGGACTGCTTGTAAAATTTGGAAAAAGGCATGTTTTCAAGTCCATATTTGGTCCTGAGGAATTTTAGCTGCATAACCTTTTATTAGTCCAGACAATGAAAATAGTTGTCTTCTAAGTGTGTTGGACTACATTACATTCAAGCTGGTGGGGATTATGGAAATTCTGATCTATTAGGTCTGAAGGGCACCAATCTAGTTTTACCTCTCTGTTTAGTCCTGATGTTCACTGGTTAACTTTGGACTAAACTGTCCATTTGTTTCTTTATCACATACAGTAGTGCATCTTTTGGTCACTTCACCTGGGAGCCCAAAACAAAGGACAGGATAAAAAAAGTGGGGTTTATATGTTGTGTAATGGGACCTTACGTGATAATGAATTTGCAGAAAGCCAGTGATGGGGAATTTTGCTCTGCTGTTTTTTTGTGGTATAAAAATAACAGGATGCTTTAAGTTGGGAAGTGTCTTTGCATCTATGCCTTCTATCCATGTCCAGAGTTCTGTTTTCAAGTTGCTGAGTATATCTAATAATATGTGGGCAGTTTTTCTCTTTGACTTTCTTCCCCTCTGCCTATCAATTAAAAGTAAATGTTATGAACAAAATAATAACAGGTAAATGTGTTATGAACGAAGTCATTGGTTCAAATGGCTCAGTTGATTTAGACTGACAACAGCAATCCAGGCCCTCTCTTAAAAGGGTTGTCATATTTGCCTGGCCATTTCGATATGTCCTAAGTTTTCTGCAAAGGAAGTTACATGACCTGCCATTGCACTTTCTTCCTCCCTTTCTCACCCAGCATGTTGCAAAGTGGAAATAATTATTTCAATCAACATGACTTACAGGCCTGCTCATGAAATACTAGAGCATGTTACATTCTTAAATGTGGGTTTGATGATTATACGTCTTCTCAAATAGCGTTTGGTAATTTGATGCTGAAATTGCTATTGCTTTTCTACAATGCACGAATCTAGAATCCATGGTGAAGTCTTCAGTCTTCTTGGTGACTGAATATACACAATTTTAATAAAATGTTCTCTGCGAATAAATCACCCGCTTCGCAGTTTAATGACTGTGCACTAGTGGGCTCTTTATTGTAGGCAGTAATGGCGGGGACCAGGTTCAGTCATTTTTAAGGGCTGATTGGTCATTGTTACGGAATTATAATAGTCTTCCTTAATATGTTCATGCTGGGAATTTGAAAGAAACATGGTCTCATTTGTCTGGAATATAACAGGAGGAAATTGGCAATAGATTGAATTATTTGTAGAAATTTTAAACAGATTTTCTCCTCATGTATCTGCCAAATAAGAAGGCATTTAAATCTTTTTCTTTGCCTTGCAGAATTCACAGAAAAATGGTAAAATAATTTGTAAGCGCTGCAAGATGTTGTTGGGAGAAGCTATGCCCTCAGGTACTGAATTCTCAGACAAAATCTTTGAAAGCTGTTTTAGTCACCTACTGTTAGAGAGGTTTTTAAATGACCTGTTAAAATTTCTGTTTTTTAGATGGGTTTGAAAGGACCAAGGTTTTTCTTTTATTCTAAATACATTTTCATTAAGCAGCCATAAAATTTGTCGGGATTTAGGAGCAAAAAATAAATAAAAAATTAAATGTACCTGCAAAGTCAGGTATACCCCTACTTCCCAGGGAGTAAAGTTGCCCATCTCAAAGAATTATGTGAAGAGTTGCTATTTCCTGTAAGTCTGTCTTGCCACCCCAAGCTCCTTTCTATGATAAAATATTTCTTCCATTTTCCTATTAGTCCTGAGCAGAGTAACACAATTTCCCCTACTTTCCCAATGAAATCAATCCTCTTTTTGAGGAAAGGGCGCCTTATTTCCTTTGTTTTTCTTTTTTCTTATTTTAACAACAACAACAAAATCTAGCTAGGGTACAGCAGATGGGGAAGTGACTGGTCTTGAAAAGTTAACTGGAGATTAGCCCTCAGGAAGCCCCAGGACATACATTCATACACACACACACGCATTACATATATACATTTATATCTCGCTTTTAATATTTTTACATGGCAAATAAACCCAGCACACCTTTCTCCTCATGTTTTCTCCACAGCAACAACCCTGTGTGCTGGGTTGAGCTGAGAGTGACTAGTCCAAGGTCGCCCAGCTGGCTTTCACGGCTAAAGCAAAACTCATGGTCTTTTTAACCTGGTGCCTTAACAACTAGACCAAACTGGTTCTCTCTATTAATAGACTGGGGACAAAAAATACATTTCAGAAGAAGGAAACAGCAAAGCCCTTCTGTATATTTTCCAAGCAAAGGACACACAACTAACTGACCACACTGGCACACAAGACATAAGCTAAGGAGAGAATAGGAAAAGAAAATTCTGCTGATGATGTTACTTAGTCTGCTAACGAAACGTTCAGAAATTAAATTGAAACAATCTTTCATAGCCAACCACTACCCCCCCCCCCCCCAAAAAAAAAAAAAGGATTTGGGTGTCTATGATATCACCAACTATTGAACTTGAGTCAAAGGATAATTCACTTTTTTTGGAATGAGCAAAAGCATGTTTTTGTGTTTCAATACGTAGCAGAAGGGAACAAGAAAAGCAAAGACAGTTGCTGGGGGCTGGTAATGGAAAGAGGTTGAGTGAATAAAAGGGATATTTCAAAACAACTTTAAGATCCTTTCTACAGGATTTCAGTTTACAAAGCAAAATATGGTTACTCTTCATACAGGTTTTTTTTGAAGTAGAAAATATTGGAAGGGTTATTTTCTTAATGTGAGCAATTTTACAGGAACTGAGTTCTTGACAAAGATAGTGCTGAGGAAGAGGAAAAGAAAGGCATTGAATACTATTAGGGAGACATTAGAAATCAGAGGGAGGGAGGAAGGGAGAGAGAGAGAGAAAGAGAGAGAGAGAGAGAAATGCCATCTGTCTTTGGAATTGGGGTGGGGGCTGAAATATACATGTTTCCAGGTGGTCCAGCTTGAGGAAAAGCTACCCTACCACATCATTTGGTTGGACTGTTAAAGCCTAATTTTAAAATCTTTTGGGAACAGTTTCGATTTTGTACGCATTAATAATGCATTTGAATAATGTAAGCATCCCTGAAATTTGAAAGCGTGGCAGAATGTAAATATTTATGAAATTGCCACATATTTTTTCCAATTCATCCTCTTCTCGGGTCTTTAATAAATAACTGACATGCAGAAGTTTAACAAGTTTTAAGATTTTATTTATTGCACAGCTCCATGTCAAAAGAGGGACAGGATCAGGCCTAGGTGAAAAGAGGTGACTCCAGCTGTGCTTATGGATAATTTTTAAGAATGCTCCAAGTTGTAATTCTTAAGAACACCCAGACTCAAAGAGTCATGTTGTCTAGCATCCAACAGTAGTCAACCTGGTGCCTTTGGAAAATTGACAAGGAGTATAGGATTTACAACCTGCTTCTGCTGTTGGTCATATAAGATGCATTTAATGGTGTGCCGTGTTCTGAATTAATATATACTAATCATTTAACTAATTGCCTTTTTGAAAATGAAAAACCCCTTGATCTTGGAATGCTTTTCAGCATATTTGAAGCATCATTTCAATTTATTAAGCATAACAATGAATTTTTTTAAAAAATGATACAAACTAAGAAAATTAAAAGAATAAAAAAATAAAAAATAAAAACAGAAAAGATGGAAAAAATAAAATAAGAATATGGTTAAAAAAAGGAAATACATACATATATACATACATACATACATACACATACATATGTATGTATGTATGTATGTATGTATGTATGTATGTATATATATATAAAGTAACTTCTCCCTTCATCACAGCAAGTATAAATAATTTTAGTTAACATATCATTTCGTCTTAAAATGAAACACACGATCTCTTCTTCATTTACCTCATCTCTTGCTGATAAATAAAACCTAAAAAACCTATTACTCAGCAAAAGTCCATTAAGGGTTACCAGAGATAACAATTTTCAATTTTTTAATACTTTCCCAGTTGATTTTATTTTGTAAGAGAACTGGTGTGGTAGGTCTGTTGAGAAAGAAGGAATGAGACAAGGAAGGCGAAGCAGACAAAAAACCATGCCATTTTGTTGTTTGATATGGGTACATATTGAATTAAGTTGGATAGGATAGAAATCGTTGCAATGTTGGCAGCAGAGACAGGTTTAATATTTGAGTTCCTTTCTCCATTTTAGTGTTCTCTCTAGTCCTAGTTCAATATGGCTCCTCTCTTAACCACTTTGTTCTATGTGATCCATGTCCTCAAGCTTGTTACTTGTTTCCTCATTATGTTTTCATGACTTACTGACTTAAGTATATTGTCATTGTACATTAATTCATATGGTACAAAATTTCATTTTCCCCCTCATAGGTGTCATAAAATACTATTTCACAGAATTGCTTGTTCAGCCATCTGAAGACAGCTTTTGCATAATACCAAGGTAGTATCATGTATTTCTATATTAAAAAGGTATAGCTGGCTAAATACTATATGTAAAGCAACTTTTTGATAGGCACGGCTCTCTTTGGAGAAATTAATTCAAAACCCTGTATATAATTTAAGTAATGATAATTGTGTATTCACTAAATATGGTTTTTCCTGCTCTTTCTCTTTCTTTTTTTTTTTAAACAAGTTTTATTAATTTTTAAAACACACAAATTATCATTATTCATTACATGTTTAAACCTTTTTTCATTGTAAATTTAACAAGTCAGATAAATTATGATTCTATTTTAAACCATTTCCATATAACATACCAAAACCTCTTATTCAATTTCTCTTTACTTCTCTTTATTCTTATTCAATATCATTATTATTATTTCATCTATTTCTTTCTGACTTAGTTACCATTATTCTCATTCTATATTTCTACAAGTTTTTACTAATTCTCCCCCCCCCCCCCAAAAAAAAACATATACACACAACACACAAAACATAAAAAAAATCTTTTTGGAAAGTAACTTGGACCCAGGTGTCTCTCTCTTCATGGACTTCAATTATATTCATGCTCATCTTACATATCATTACTTATTTTATTTACCATTCTAAGCCTTCTATATTAACTTCTCCACATATTTCACCCTTCTTAATTCTATCTTAATTAATCATCTTAGTTTGAATCATTATATTTGTATCTTTTGTCCATTTTTTATCATCCCTTTGTCTCATTCCTTATGAAAAAGAAGAAAATAAGTTTCTCCTGAAATCATTAATCAGAGTATGATGCCTTTCTATCTCCCCCCTAAGTTAGTCAAATTAATCTTTAAAATAATATCCAATACCCAATCCGATTTTGCTTGGTACATTCTATCTAACTAATACATCCAAAATAATTAAGTACATAATTAGACAATAAATCCAAATATTAAAAAAAGATACTATAATAAAATTTTTATAATAACATCAATACCATAATCTTATTAAACTCTTTAATTAAAACAGTATTCTAAACCTCCCCTATTATTAAATTTTAAAGCCAATCATTTTTAAACATTTTAACATTTTAATCTCTTATCAACTCTTAAACCATTACAATACTACCATCTCATCTTATGTACCTTGCAAAATCTTTTTTTTTAAAAAAATTATACTTTATCCATTATCCATAAAAAATTTCTTTTTTCCATTTAATTTCAAAACATTGTAGCTTTTCTCCACCTTTTCCCTTTCTTTCTTCTCCCAACAAACCTTTCTACCCCCCCTTCTTCTAACCTCTGCCTTACCGGCTTCCCTTCTCTGTCGTATTCCTTTTCCCTTTTGTTTACTATCATCATATTGGTTTTGCACCTTATTTTTCCCTTTCTTAAATGTTTTTTTAGATCTTAAGTCCTTTAGTTTTCTTCTTTTCTCTCTTCCTTCTTTCTTGATCAAATTCTGAGATTCATTAAAAATGGCTCCTTCCTTTCTTTCTTGTTCCTCTGCTGTCTTCATCTGTTGTAATGTTTGTTGATAGTTAGTAAGCGCCATTTCTAAAAAAAGGAAAGCTTCTTCCACACCATCTTTACCATTTTTTTTACTTGTTCATATTCTTTTCTTAGTTCCTCAACAGAAAGAGCCATTATAAATCTTTTCTTTTCTTTTCCCCTTCTTTCTTCTTACAACAACCAGAATATTCAAAAGAAAATAAAAAAAATAAAACAGTCCCAAAGTTATCAGTCAGTCCAAACCAAGGCAGAGTTCTCACTTTCTCCTTCTGGGGTAATATCAATCAAAGAGAAAGAAAGTCCAAATCTGTTTAAAATCTTATTGCAATATCTTCTAGTCTTCAAATCCTTAAGGCATCTGCTCCAACAAAGTCTTAGCATACAAATATTTTCTTTTTAATCCTCTCTCTTCCCACTCATCGCTTAAAACCAATTTTCACCTAAAAAAATAGGTTTCTTAATATCCAGTTATTTATTCCGTAGGAAAAGAGGGAAAGCTATCCTTTCAGCACCATCAAACAGCCGCTTTTTTCCTCTTCTGGCAGGTATTATTCAGAAAGTCATACTTTTCAGGAATTTTATTAAATATGTCTTAGAGTCCTAGGAGCCAAGAAAAACTTTCTCCTCTCAAGCACTTTCTCCACTTCCTCCTGCGCATTCTTACCCGGCTGCCAGCTTCTTTGTGGCGGCCATTACGGACCGCCGCTGCACCGTCCTGGGAAAAGAGGGTTCTACCGGACGGGGAGGGGGTCTGCAACACCCCCAAACCCCTCTCCGGATCCCCCCTACCTTCAGCTGTCCCTGCAGGGCAGCCTAGCTCCGTACCCGTCTGGGTCGGAGCCCCAGAAGCGGCTAGCGCGGCAGGGATCGCGCAGCTTCGCAAATCCCTGCCGCTCGCGAAGCTGACAAACCGGAAGTTCCCCTGCTCTTTCTCTTTCAATTGTGTAATTAGGGTTTGACGTCAGGGAATAAAAACATTCAAATCAAAGATCTTGGAGATCATTAGATGACTCTGTATCAGTTTCTTAGATTTCTAATGTCCAATTTTAAAGGCACAACCTCTCTTCTGGATTACAGAGTTGGCCAAAAGTATAGGCACCCCTCACTTAAATCCAATAATGGCTTTTAACTACTAAGAGATACCAATAATTATGCTATGCCATTTCCATTTGTTTTATTCTTTATAGGAATATGTTATGTCATATATCAGATGCAAACTTTCTGCTTTATGGAGTAAAAAATGGTGGGTGCCTTGTTTCAACTTGTTTCATGACAAATTGGGATTCTTTGGGAAAAAGTAAAGAGTAACAATACTTTTGGCCCGTCTGTAGCTCCAAAAGACTGAATCTTGTCCTTTTGTACAAGAGGTAAATAGAAAAGATTAAATCTTGTGGCTTGTTCTCATAATGCAGAGGTCAGCAATTGTTTTATATGGCAGGCACCATGGTGTGATTCTGCACAACATTGTAACCTACCCCACAGTAAATAAGTGAACTTGAAACATTAATGGAAAAGAAAGCAATAAATAAATAAATCACCCAGATCTTATGAGATTTCATGTAAGAACATAGAAATTTTGGCACTGTTTAATATTCTTACAAAATTTTTGGCAATTAAAAAAACACTTTCATGTTACTTTAAAAAGTATGGAAGGTCCTTGAACCTATTTCATAGCTTTGAAAATATGGGTGCTCCATTGTTCACTCTTCTTCCCAAACAAGGTCTGGGCAACTTTGGTAGCTGGTAACAAAGTAAGTAGAGGAGTGTTCACTCTTGCTGCATCTGTAAAACCAGATTCACCCAAGTATTTTCTGATTGGTCCATCCAGGTTTTCATATTGGTTATTCTGCCCTTGAAAATGCTTTTAACATCTTGACAATGCCCTTGTAAAATCATTGTTTCCAGTATGCTTACAACAGAATTAATAAGTCCCCAACCCAATCATTCACTTGCTGCTGTAGCAAGGGTTAGGGTTAATCAGTGGCACATTATGCAAACCTAATGTTGCTTTAATTAATTTCTGCCATGAATCATATAATTGCCAATTAAAAGCTGGTATCTAGCCATCACTTTCTAGCCTATGCAGCTTTTGGATTCATTAAAGTTTCTGCTTTTTTAATTGTTGGGTGACATTTAACTAAAACACATAATTCTGAAGGGAAGAATCACTGAATGTAGTCTATTGCGATCAGTATATAAAGGGGGGATTCTGTAGCATTTGTTTTATGCCTGCATCACACTGGACATCAAAAATATAATGATGTTCAAGAATAAGTGTATACTGAGAGTCATTGCAATTGTACAGGAGCAGGGTGGCTCATGTAGTTAGGATGCTGAGTTGGAGGTTAGCAAGCCCCTGTTTGAGACCCGAGTACTGCTGTGTGGGGTGGGGTGAGCGCCTATCCTGTGCTCCAGCTCCTGCTGAGGACATGAAAGGAGCCCCCAACAGGGCATCTGCTGGACAATGGTGATGTTACCAGCTAATGTTTTCAACCTGGAAGTGCCTCAGTGCTTCTGACAGGAGCGTGATGTAGTTGCATAATTGTAAATGTACAATAACAAAAAATAATTCTGAAAACTCTGTTGGTGTCGAAAACTTCTCCATACTGTGGGTCCAGTATATACTCAGGGTAGGCAATGTTAACAAGATTGGTGCATACTCTTGTTAATCCAAAGTACTTTGTCTTGGACCCATTCTGATTCAAAATAGATGTGGCAATTTATTATGATGTAGGGAAAAAGTGTTTTTGTAACTATGGAAGAAGGATGGAAATATGAGGGCAGGAGAACAAATGGATTGCTTAAAGAATTCAAAACTGATTTGGACTTTAATTTGTTAATTATACTCTGCTTTAATTTTTAAAAATCCATTTGAAGAGCCAATTTTATCACCAAAGGCTCATTTATATGGACCACTGCTAAGTTTTATGCCTGCCTCTTCTTCTCTTAACCTGTTTTTTTCCAATACAAAAAGAAAATTCCTTGTTTTTCTCTTCCACTGTTTTATACTTGCTGCTGCACAATGGAGTCCCAAGAAAGATAGAAATGCTACTAGAAAATGCTAAAATGTGACTTGATCAGATGGAGCCTTGCAGCCTGATGCTGTCCCATTTGCCTGGGATCGCAGGTCCTGCCAGTTTTGTTTTGATAGATCTGAAGGATAGTGGGGAATGAGACAAGAATGTCCTAGAAGACGAATGGGCAGACTGCTAACTGAATGTGGCCCTCAGAGTTCCATTTACAGCCTCAGTTCTTCCAAATTGATGAGGGCAACATTTTCTTCTCTGTTTTAAATGGGTGTAAAATTGCCGCAACAATGTGTTGCAGCACAACCTAGCAGATTATAAACTGAAAATACAGCTAGTGGGACCTAAAAAGTTTGGTTTAAAAAGGTTAATTACTTGGGCCTAGGATGTTTTTTGACATTCTCACTTGTTTTTCAAATAATGGTATTTCTTAGTATTTTATAAATAATTGTCTTTTCTGCTCCAAAACAGGTCTTCCTTTATACAGAATGTTGTAGCCAAGTGCTTCATGGAACTCACATTTTCTAGAAGCACATTTAGGTTCAGCATCCAAGGAATGGATGGCACAGTGTATATCTTGGTAAGTCACAAGTCTTAGTGCTGCCTATTAGAAGCTGCCTCATCTTGTTACAGACTTACCCAGTGGTTAAGATGTGTAGAAGGAACTCTTTTGAAGAAGTTCGCACTAACAGTGAGGCAAGCCAGTGTATTCTTCCTTCATTGTTCTCAGATTGTAGAATGCAATGTCATCCTATGCTTATTTCTTTTAATTATTTTAATGCAATTTTATTTATAATTTAAATCTTTACCTTTAACTTTTATATTCTGTTTTTGTTTCACAGTTTTGATACAGTTAGTCTTCAACTTGCAACAGTTCGCTTAGTAATCGTTTGAAGTTGCAACGGCACTGAAAAAAGGGACTTATGACCATTTTCCACACTTATGATTATTGCAACATCCCCATGGTCATGTAATTTAAATTCAGATTCTTGGCAACCGACTCAGATTTATGACTGTTGCACTGTCTCAGAATCATGTGATCACCTTTTGCAGCCTTCTCACAAGCAAAGTAAATGGGGAAACCAGGGGGTTAATAACTGTGTTTATAATTTAACAACTACAGTGATTTGCTTAAGAAATGTGGCAAGAAAAGTCGTAAACATGGGGTAAAACTCACTTAACAAATTTCTCATTGAGCAATATACATTTTGGACTCAATTGTGGTCATAAATTGAGAACTACCTATAGTTTCCTTGAGTATTACCCAGAGTGGAAAAATGGATTATAATCTAATCACTCATTCAAATCAAATAAACCAATGCTTTCTCTTTTTCTAAAAAGAGTTCCATTGATTAACTTCAGAGTTCTCCAACCACATAACTTGATCTTATCTCCTGACTAAGGAGATTCCTTTTTATCTTTCCAACACCAATAGTAAAATGCTGGTTGGGTATGGAAGCCACCCATCCTGATGTGTGTGTGTGTGCATTGCCAATTTATAATAGGAGCTCATCATCAGTGGTGAAGTCAGCCATTCTTTTTTAATTTTGAGAGCACATTTTCTACAGTTCCGAAATAACAGCAAGAAGCTTTTATACAAACCTTGAAATATCCTTGTCTGTTTTACCTTTTAGCAAAACAACCAAATGAATTTTTCCCCTATAAAGACAAAGCTAGTAACTGGCATTTTCCAGAGAGCACAGGAGCTTTAAAAACCAGGTGTAGGTAGCCCTCGACATATAATCAGTCTGACATATAACCAGAATATTGTAAGTCATGACAGCCATAATGCGTTGGTTTATTTGGTTTGAATGAGTGGTTAGGTTATAATCCATTTTTCTACTGTGGCTATTACTCAAGGCAACTATCAAAATTCTGAAACAAAAACAGAATATAAAAGCTAAAGGTACAGATTTACATTATCAATAAAATTGCATTAAATTTTTTAAAGAAATAAGCTGGACCTGAATTATTTCACTTTTTTACAGTGGTCATTAAGTGAACCCATGTATTTCTAAGGGGTGTTCTTTACTAGAATGTCCAAAAAGGCCAGAAACCAGGGGGGAAAACCCCCATCATAAATCAGTCATGTGACTGTGGAATGCTGCAACTGGCTGTAAAGGTGAGCCAGTTGCCAAGTGCCCAAAATGTGTTGTAATCAAGTAATTGTGGGCAACTCAGTAGTAGTGTTGTGTCCTCTATGGCTTTTTATGTGAGAAAAAGAATAGGAATACGTATAGGGATAGGGATAGGGATAAGAATAGAACAGAATAGAATAGAGCAGAGCAGAATAGAATTCTTTATTGGCCAAGTGTGATTGAACACACAAGGAATTTGTCTCCAATGCATAATAATAGTTCCACTTTCATTTATCTCTAAATGTGACTTGTAATAACGTTTCTTATCCATAGATCTGGGTATTGAATTGTGACACACTGATGGTGGAAATGTCAGGAAACCCAGTTTCCAAAAACATTTTTACATTACTTGAACCTGAGCTGTCATCTCCTTTGAGGCCTGCTGAGATTCATAAGGCTGTTAAAGTTCTTTACCATCCTTGTACTGAGAACAGAAACAAGGAGTAAGTACTGATTCTGTTTGTGTGTGTGTATGTGTCTCTTGTGCAGCATGTTGGTGTGTGTATGCATGAATATGAATTTATATGCTGCCACCTCCACAACAAACATCCACAGTGTAACTCAGATAGATAAATAATAACACATGGGTATCAAATCTGTACATCAACATAATTTAATTGTGTTTTGGTTAGGGTTTGTTCTTTTCATAGACATTAACATTAAAAAGTCTATGATGAGAACAAACCATAACCTATAATAACAGAACACAAATTACAATCAATATTACTGTACATGCCACAAATAATAGCATAAATAATGAAATATCAGCCAACTCTAGCAAGACAACAGTAACTCACCCAAAGTCCTTCCAGAGCAATTCAATGTGTAAAATGTCCTGAAAAATCATCATATTGGGACAAGCTTATCACTAAAAAGGATGTAATTTCTCAGGATTGGAGTCATAGAAAATTGTTATGTCTCTGATTCATCCACTCTAATTTTACAAACATTTATAAAAATGAAATAGCAATAGAAATCGCACTTAGACTTATATACCACTTTATAGTGCTTTACAGCCCTCTCTAAGAGGTTTACAGAGTCAGCATATTGCCCCCAACAATTTGGGTCCTCATTTTACCCACCTCAGAAGGATAGAAGGCTGAGTCAACCTTGAGCCTGGTGGGATTTGAACTGCCAAATTGTAGGCAGCTGGCTGCAGAAGTAGCTTGCAGTGGTGCACTCTAACCACTGCGCCACAGAGGCTCAAGGAAATGCTGCTTTCTGTGTTAGGTGTGTAAAGTGTGTGTACTATGTGTAAAAATTATATTAACAGGCTATTTTCACTAACTTCGATGCTTACACATAGTTCTTTAATGAGTTGCTTTTTAAAATAAATATGCATGACGTAGGAAACTTGAATGAATGCAAGTGTTGGTACTGCTGGCTTTTGATTTTCTGTGTTAATTTTCTGCTTAATTTAATAGATTTGTATTCTGAGGCTTTTAACAAGAGATTACTTTTGTTCATTATATGTTTAATGTAACGTGGTAAGGAACCAATTGACATGTTACAATCTGTTTTGTACCTGGAAACAGCAAAGCTACAATGGAGAACTTTTTAAAACAGCTGATATGCTGGTTGGATTCTTGTAAATAGCTTTTAAAAATATGACTGCCTTTTTTTAAAAAAATGCATCCTCTATAATCCATATTTGTGCAAAATCTTTATTTCCTATTCTTGTTATTTCAAGAGATGATTTGTAGCTCCTTAGAACATGCAACTGAGCAACTACAGTATATGCCTTCTTCATACCTCAAACATATTGGAATGTTGTTGATGGACTTGAAATCTGGGCATCTGAGTCCATATGAATAACTGACACTTGCTAAAAACAGGGAGATTATAATGATGAGAACAAGAATAGTGTATCTTGAAGCTATAAAATGTTAATCCTTAAAATCCTTCCTATATATATAGGGAGTTTCCGGTTTGTCAGCTTCGCGAGCGGCAGGGATTTGCGGAGCTGCGCGATCCCTGCCGCGCTAGCCGTTTTTGGGGCTCCGACCCAGACGGGTACGGAGCTAGGCTGCCCTGCAGGGGCAGCTGAAGGTAGGGGGGATCCGGAGAAGGGTTTGGGGGTGTTGCAGACCCCCTTCCCGGCCGGCAGAACTCCCTTTTCCCAGGACGGTGCAGCGGCGGTCCGTAATGGCCGCCACAAAGAAGCTGGCAGCCGGGTAAGAATGCGCAGGAGGAAGTGGAGAAAGTGCTTGAGAGGAGAAAGTTTCTCTTGGTTCCTAGGACTCTAAGACATATTTAACAAAATTCCTGAAAAGTATGACTTTCTGAATGATACCTTCGAGAAGAGGAAAAAAGCGGCAGTTTAATGGTGCTGAAAGGATAGCTTACCCTCTTTTTTCACGGAATAAAAAGTGAATATTAAGAAACTTATTTTTGTTAGGTGAAAACTGGCTCTAAGCGGTGAGTGGGAAAAGAGAGGACTTAAAAAAAAAAATTTGTATGCTAAGACCTTGTTGGAGGAGATGCCTTAAGGATTGAAAGACTAAAATATATTGCAATAAGACTTTAAGAAACAGATTTGGACTTTCTTTTTCTCTAATTGATACTACCCCAGGAGGAGAGAGTGGGAACTCTGTCTTGGCTTGGACTGACTGAGAACTTTGGGATTGTCTTATTTTTCCTTTGGAATATTCTGGCTGTTGTAAGAGAAAAGAAAAGAAAAGATTTATAATGGCTTCTTCTATTGAGGAACTGAGAAAAGATTATGAGCAAGCAAAACAAAATGGTAAAGCTGGTGTGAAAGAAGCCTTCCTTTTTTTAGAAATGGCGCTTATTAATTATCAACAAACATTGCAACAGATGAAGACAGCAGAAGAAGAACAAAGGGAGGAAGCCATCTTTAATAAATCTCAGAACTCGACCAAGAGGGAAGGAAGAGGAAAAAGAAGAGAAATAAAGGACTTAAGATTTAAAAAAACATTTAAGAAAGGGAAAAACAAGGTGCAAAATCAATATAAGGATGGTAAACAAAAGGGAAGAGAAATGCGACAGAGAAGGGAAGCCAGTAAGGCAGAGACTAGAAGAAGGGGGGCTAGAAAGGTTTGTTGGGGGAAGAAAGAAAGGGAAAAGGTGGAGAAAAGCTACAAAGTTTTGAAATTAAATGAGAAAAAAGAAATTTTTTTTAGGGATAAAGGATAAGTATAATTTCTTCAAAGAGATTTTGCAAGGTACATAAGATGATATTGTAGTATTGTATCAGAAATAGAAAATTTAAATGGCTTGAGAGTTGATAAAAGATTAAAATGTTGGAATGTTAATAACGATTGGTTTGAAAATATAATATGAGGGGAGATTTAGAATATTAAACTTTAATTAAAGAGTTTATTAAGATTATGGTATTGATGTTATTATAAAACTTTCATTATAGTATTTTGTTTTTAATATTTAAATCTATTGCTTAACTATGTATTTAATTGTTTTAGATGTATTATTCAGTTATAATGTACCAAGCAAAATCGGATTGGGTATTTTAAAGATTAATTTGATTAATTTAGTGGGGAGATAGAAAGGCATCATACTCTGATTAGTGATTTCAGGAGAAATTTCTTCCTTTTTAAAAGGAATGAGACAAAGGTATAATAGAGAATGGACAAAAGATATAAATATAATGACTCAAATTAAGATGATTAATTAAGATAGAATTAAGAAGAGTGAAATATGTGGAGAAGTTAATATAGAAGACTTAGAATGGTAAATAAAATAAGTAATGATATATAAGATGAGCTGAATATAATTGAAGTCCATGAAAAGAGAGATACCTGGGTCCAAGTTACTTTCCAAAAAGATTTTTTTTATGTTTTGTGTGTTGTGTGATTATGTTGTTGTTTTTTGGGGGGGAAATTAATAAAACCTTGTAGAAATATAGAATGAGAACAATGGTAACTAAGTCAGAAAGAAGTAGATGAAATAATAATAATAAAATTGAATAAGAGTAAAGAGAAATAAAGGGAAATTGGATAAGAGGTTTTTGGTATGTTTATATGGAAATGGTTTAAAACAGAATTATAGCTTATCTGACTTGTTAAATTTATAATGGAAAAAGGTTTAAACGTGTAATGGATAATGATGACTTGTGTGTTTTGAAAATCAATAAAACTTGTTTAAAAAAAAAAAAAGAATAGTGTATCTTGAAGCTATAAAATGTTAATCCTTAAAATCCTTCCTAGCATGGTCACTCGGGTGTTTATAAGAATTGTGACTCTAAAAATATGAAGCATGCCTTGTTGCCTCTTCTTGGGCTAGTGTGATGAGCTACAAAATATCCAGAGAGATGTAGTTGAAGAAGTTGGGTATGTTTTTCTGGGAAAAGTAGAGATTATGTGGAGACAGGATTGTTTTCAAATAGTCCAAAGTTTATTATGTAAAGTATTTATTAATTTATGTTTTATTAGGTTTGAAGTTGGCACAATTTTTTTACTGTAAGAATTAATTGTAGAAGACTCTGTCTTCAGAGTTAGAATTATTAAACAGAGTCTGAGCAGCCATCAGTTGGAGAAGTAGCTGTAGGACTGGGGCAATTTTTTTCATAAGTGCAAGAAATCTGCAATTTCATGTATTTTGAATATTGGATATTTTGGGTATTTTTTCCTATTCATGATGGGCTTGTGAAAGCTATTTCTAAGGTTTATGGACTAGTTTTGTGAGAAAATTATTATTACAAATTTGTGGATAAGTAAATCCAATCTTTTTTCAGGATTCCTAATTAATATGGCCCAACTGTCATGACTCAAGATCTAGAAAGTATACACCAGATTAGGGGTATTCAAATACAGTTGATTTGAATGCTTGTATAAATGTGATTTATAGATACTAATGGGCTCACTTTCTGTCCTGACTTTTGGATACTTTAAAATAAATATGTAGGAAACTACCTTCCTTATTATTTTTATTTCCAAGAATGCTTCTGTATCTTGAAGCCTTTTTAGGAAATCAGAATGATGGCTGACTCCAGCCCAATCTTGGTTTGAAAATATGTTCGCTTCCCTCCCCCCTCAAATAAAGAGGGCAACATAGAAGAGGAAGGGTAGGCAGCCATCTTCCAGTTTGCCTTCTAGTAAGTGAATTGTGAATGGCCACAAACTTCATGGCATCCATTTTGTGAGAATACTCATAAAAAAATTCTGTATAGTTCCAAATGTGCCTAAAACCCAAAACAGCTTACTGTGAATTTCACCCAGGATGTTTATAGATTTTTTACCAGAATTTGCACAAAGAAGACACTGGGACCTAGTCTGGGAAATCATGTACTATGCAATTTTTCCATATCCTGTCACAACTCACTTACAGAAACTCATGTTTCCATCACTGTATACCACAAAATGTCATGACGAATGCTCTTCAGCGCTCATTTTTATTGACTGAGCTTATTAAACAGGGAGCATGTGGCCTTTTTGTTTTCTTGATCTCCTAGCAATTACTAAGCACT